CGGTCTCTGCTTTACAGCGAGAAAACAAGCCCAGTGAGGTTAGGACACTTGCCCAGGGGCACACAGCCTTTCCGTGGCCAAACCAGGCGTGAACCTGAATCTGTCTTTCCACTTTCTCCCATTGCTTTTTGGGTACAGAGAGGGCAGGCCATTGACAAATGACTTCAGGGATGTAGGGAAGTCGATCATTTAGAGCAGTGGTTCTCAACCTTCTGGCCCTTTAAATACAGTTCCTCATGTTGTGACCCAACCATAAAATTATTTTCGTTGCTACTTCATAACTGTCATGTTGCTACTGTTAAGAATCGTAATGTAAATATCTGATATGCAGGATGGTTTTAGGCGACCCCTGTGAAAGGGTCGTTCGACCGCCAAAGGGGTCGCGACCCACAGGTTGAGAACCGCTGATTTAGAGGGTGTCTCAGATATTCCCTCGGGGCAGGTGGAAGGGTTAGCAAGGGCCCCAGCCATAAGCAACTGAGACAAAACAAAGAGTAACAGCATCTGGGCAGCTAGACCTCGCCTCCAATCCCACCTCCGCCGCTGGCGGCTGAGTGCCCTCGGGGAGGCGGCTTCCCCTGTGTGCCTTGGTTTCCCCACCTGTGAAATGGGAGTGAATAATAGAGCTGGTCCCACAGGCTGCAGATGACTTAAGGAGAACACTGCACGCACAGTGCTCAGCACCGCACCGGGTTACTGTTATGTCCCGGGTTTGTAATGACCCAGCACCTTGCCTGGCGGTGACCACATTAGCTCCCTTGTCTCCAACTCCGAGTCGGGGTGACCCTCCTCCCCAGAGTGCTGCGGTGCGGGCAGGAATCCCATTCACCCATCCATCAAGGGGAGGGATGGGGCTCTATAGCTCCCCAGGTGACGACAGTCATAAACAACCCCGAGAATTAATGAGTCTGAGATGCACGCAGCCCGCAGACCCGCCGCATGGCTTCCTGACAGAGTGGCTCGGCCATTTCAGGACAGGTTCCCGAGAGGCCCTGCTCCGGGCTCTCAAGGCAGCGCTGGCCAGACCAGCCACAGCTGCCTCCTGTTTCTAAATCCTGTCCCCGTCCTCAGCAGATGGCCTGATCTTAACTTCAGAAAATGCCACATTTAATAAAGTTACCGGTAATGTCCCCCCACTTGGCAATTAGGATGAGAGCGAAAGCAGCATGATTCTGGAATTGATGGTGTGCGTCTCCCCCCCCCCCCTCTCTCTCTCTCCCTCTCTCACAGCATGGCACACACTCTCCCACTTTGCCGCAATTTTAGGAATCGCTGTGTAATGTTTAACTGCTGCTCTAATCGCAGCTGCTCCGGTCCCTCCCATCAGTAGTGGAACCCAGCTTTTCGCTATTTCCCTCTCCGACTGAGGAATCGGTACCCAGACCCCTCGCCCCGCACCGTGCCAGGCGGGGTGTCTTCCTGAGCTCCGCAGTGCTCCGCGTGGGGCCTCCTTCCTGGCGCAGTTGCACATCATTAGCCTTCCCTCCCCGTTCAGCGAGGCGCTGCAGCAGCGCTGGGCTGAGGGCTCGGAAGCAGCTGCCTGCGTGTTTCCCAGGCTGCTTGGGCCTTTTTCGGGGAGAGTGAGCTGACACGCGCCATCGGTCCTGCAGTTGGCTTCTGTCCTCGTGTGGGGAAGGCAGCCCCTGGGCCTGGGCGCCCTGCCAGGCCAGGGTATGCACAGCCCTGCATGGGAAAGTGTGGTCTGTACGTTGGTGCTGACTGTGCACACGCATGTGTGTGCACACAAATGCACATGGACATGTGCCTCTACAGGTGTGCCTGTGGGCATATGTACTCACATGTGGATACAAGCACCATCTTGTATGTATATTTAGAGACGGGCACGTGAGTCCTGTCAACTTCTGGTTACCGTAGCCCCTTTAAACGCTTTAGAAAGACAAATTTCCTGACTAGATTATAGCACCCTGGCTACATAGAAAAAATGCTAGTACAGGGAGTCATAAAAGCCATAAATTTCCAGAAGAAATAATTAGCAGCAACCGTTACTGAGTAGTTAACATGTTCCAGGCATTTTACAAACACTCTCATTTTGCCTTTGCAGCAATCCTAGGGGGTAAGGACTTTGTTTCCCCCAATTTACAGATGAAAAATGAAGGCTCAGAAAGGCTAAGCAACTTTCTTGGGGTCACAGAGCCAGGAAGTAGCAAAGTTCAAAGGTGGACGCAAACAAGCTCACTCCAGAGCTGGCATCCAATGCCTGCGTCATACCTGCCTCCTATTTCTAACATCTGAGTGTGTGTGTGTGTGTGTGTGTGTGTGTATGTGTGTGCGCGCGCGCGTGTAGGTGTGAATGTCTGGTGCAAGTGTGTAGGGAGTCCACACCTCCCCGGGGTTGAGCACCTGGAGAAGGTGATTGGCACCTGGCAGAGTCCAAAGCCTGGCTTGTCTGACATCCACAGCCAGGCAGGGAGGAATCGCCCAGACCTCGCTCTGGAAAGGAGGGCTGGCGTTTCATTCAGGCCTCATCAGGCGGAAATAGAACTTGGGTGGCAGATGGGGCCGGGGTGTGAGGATGGTAGACAGAGTAATGGTCCCCCCAAAGGTGCCCACATCCTAATCCCTGCAGCCTGGGAATATGTGACCTGACCTGGCTAAAGGGACTTTGCAGAGGTAATTAAGTTAGGGATCTTGAGATGGGGAGGTCATCTAGATGATCCAGTGAGCCCCAGGTAATCACACGGGTCCTTGTGAGACAGAGGCAGGAGGGTCATCGTCACAGGACGATCGGAAAATGTTACACTGTTGGCTTAAAGATGGAGGAAGGGGTCACGAGCCACGGAATGCAGGCAGCTTCCAGAAACTGGAAGAGGCCAGGGGATGATCCTCCCCTAGAGCTTCCAGAAGGAATGCAGCCCTGCCAAGCCCCTGGCTTTGGCCCAGGCATCTGAGCTTCAGGGCTGTGAAGGTCATATATATATGAAGGTCATATTTATCTATATATTTAAAAGCATAAGTGACCGTTACGACCTAATGACCGGAACGACCAGCCAATAGCTATGATATGCACTGACCCAGACCTTGCTGCCTTGCTGCTGGGGCCCTGACAGCCCTGAATCTGGTTCACCTGCACCCTGAACCCAGACAGGAGGGAGGAGGGAGCCCGATTCCTCGCTGTTGGTTAGCTTGCTGCTGGGCCAACCTCCCTCAGTCCCTCCCCGTGGCCGGCTGGTCCCCTGCCGGCCAGGCCGAGGGACCCCACCGGTGCACGAATTCATGCACCGGGCCTCTAGTATATACATAAAATCTGTTGTTTTAAACCACTTAGTGTGGTAACTTGTTACAGCAGCCATAGGAGACTAAAATACAGAGCGACTCCTTGAAACCCGGGAGTGTGCGGTGGCATTTGGTGGCCCTCCAGCTAGTGTACTCTTCTACCACTACTGAGTCAGACCCACTGGGACAGCTTTGGAGTTTCAAGAGACCTGGTCCAGCTCATGTGTAGATGAAGTCTAGGGACCTGCCTGCTTCATTCTACCTGGAACCACCATGGTGTCTGAAACTCTTCCTGCTCTGAGCCTCCCAAGGGCTCCATTCTTATGTCCACGTGTTGTCTCAAACCCAGAGACGTTGAGTCTCCTCCATTCAAAGCCTTTAAATGCTTTCCCATCACTCTGAGACTCAAGACACTGCATGGATGGGCCCTGCGCATCTCTGCAACCTCATCTCCCGCCACCCAGCCCACCAGCCATGCTGAGCATCTCTCGGGTCCTTTGCACATGCTGTTCCCTCTTCTTCCAGGGCTCTTCCTCGCCCTCTTAACCAGGTCAGCTCCTCTTTATCTTCAGGTCTCAACTCAAGGTCACTTCCTCTGAGGCCCCATCCTGACTTCTCAGATCCCTCTCTTACGAGTTCTCACTGCTACTCAGACTTGTCCTTCAGACAACCTACTAGGAGTCTAGTTATGATGGCTTGTGTGGTTATTTAAATGACATCTGAGTCCCTCACTAGAATTCCAACTCCATGAGGGCAGGGACCTCATCTATTTTGCTCCCTTTTGGATCCTCACTGTCTACTTGGCAGGTGGTAGGTGCTCCGTGAATATTTGTCAAATTAATGAGCAGCTCATCTAGGTCCATTTGGATGGCAAGGTCAGACCAAGTTGAGAATCCACATCCCACCCCCTCCAGAGGTCATCCACTGGTGCCCAGAGGAGGGGACATACCCTTTGTGGTGCCTCTGGGAGCATCCTTGGAAATGGGAGGTACCCACCGACTTTACGGGGTAGCCAACAGCCCCCTCTTCAGCACGAAGTCTAGTGATGGATGTGTCTTCTGGATGTGAGGCGCGAGGGGCACTTGTCAAGTTAATCGGGCATGTAAACACATGACTAGAGAGTGACAGGCACTTATGATATCCACCTAATTGGGCACTTAATATGGAGACATTGAGCAGGCAAACAAAACCAGCCCGCCCACGCAGACAGGCCTGCTCTTCGCCACTGAGAAGTTTGGGTTGGCTCGCTGAATATCATGGGAGGAGGGGGTAAAGGGTGACCCCCAGATCCTGGTTTGAGCAAGCCAGTGGGATGGTGGTGCCATTTTTGGAGAATAAGGAAATGTTTGCTGGGGACGGGGATGGGAATAGAGAGCTGCCAAGATGATGGCCAGATGAATGCAAGAGTCTGAGATGCCTGTGCAGACATCCATGTGACAACGTCATGTAGACAAGTAGATGAACAGATCTGGAGCTCCGTAAGCAGTTTCCTAGCAGAGGGGACACGAGGTAGAAAGGACTAGATAAGAGTCTTAATCTGAAGTCAGTAGACTAGATGGGCTTTGGGGGATATGGGAGGGGTTCTGTGATTTTCTGAAAATGCATCAGATTTCATGTGCTTGTTTCTTAGGGAGGTTCCAACAGTCTTCATCAGATACTTAAGAGCCCATGACTCAGAGAAGAATTAGACCCTCAGCCTGATACTGAGGGAGATGCAGGTGGTCCCTGGTCCTGTAAGGTCCTCAGTACCCTGTCTCTGCTTCCAGGCGCCTGGTGGACCGCCTGGAGAACATGAGGAAGAACGTGGCTGGGGATGGGGTGAACCGCTGCATCCTGTGTGGCGAACAGCTGGGGATGCTGGGCTCTGCCTGCGTAGTGTGCGAGGACTGCAAGAAGGTACCATCACCCTCCCCTTCTCTTCCCTGCATCCCTGCTCGTTACATGCAGAGGGGCTAGGCCTGGGGTCAAACCTTGGGGGACCCTGGGTCTTGGGAGTGGGGCTTGGATCCTGAAGGGTAGTTGCCAGAATATGATTCCTTCTGGGATGCTCTCACATCCAGCTGTCTCCCGAGGTAACCCTGGTCCTGGTTCCTCCCCTGAAACTCACTGGGACCCTTCTGTCCCCTCGGAGCTCAGGTCCATCCAGGATGAACTTGGGAGCTTGAGGTAGGACATGAGCTAAGGTTGAGCCTGCAAGTGTCCTGGTTGTGGCTTAGCAAGTTACATGTCAGGTTGAAGAGCATGATGGACTCATGTCTACACATGTGTGTCCGTGGAAGGCTAACCCAGCATTCTCTTAACCTGGGTTATAGTACAAGTGACTTAGAAAGCCCCTCTCCAGCCCATTTAGGACCACTGGGCTTCAAGAGCCTTTATTCTTGAAGCGGGGGTGCTCCTCGTATTTCTCCACCCTGTACCCTCTCCTCAGTTGTCTGCTCTTGACAATTCCAGGACACAGACAGCACTGCCCTTGGGTCTGCCTGATTCCCAGGAAAGGAACTTAGGAGAATGAGCCACCCGGAAACACCCATAGAGTCACTTGGCATCTCCTGCTTGGGGTCCCATTTAGCGTTTAGATGGAATATTGAGGGAAGTGGATCGATTCCAAAAATGTTGTCCGCTGCAGTCAGCCAAGAGTGAGAATTCGGTGACCCATCAGGATTTCCTATTTGCCTTGACTGCCAGGAAACAGCCAAAAATATAATGTCCCATCACACAGTCGTGGCGTTTCCTCACATAACTTCCTTCTCCTTGAAGATTTGAAGCTGTAGTTGTAGCCTAGGTTGTCTCAGATTCGCTTGGGAAAGGAGAAGAAATACATTAGTAAGCCATGTGGATACATGGCCTTTCCTCTTTGAAAACCCTCTCACTCATCTCCCCTGTATGGATGCTGAAAACTCAGGCCCCACGGGGACTCCTGGAGAATTTCTTTATCCAGTGCTGGGAATGACTCCAGGTCTTGGTACTGGAAATTAAGACTCAAGTTGGAACTTTATTCTAACTGGCCCTGGTCATGGACAGGAGTTGAGAGAAGGAAAGTTCTAGCTCTTTGCAATGGGCTTCCATCGCCACCTCCCCCGATCATGAGCACCTGGCATATCTGAGTGTACACTGGCCTCTATTTTGTCCCCAGAATGTCTGCACCAAATGCGGGGTAGAGACCTCCAACAACCGCCCGCATCCTGTGTGGCTCTGCAAAATCTGCATCGAGCAGAGGGAGGTGAGTAGACGTGTCCTTTCTAGCTTCTAGAGCACCCTTCCTTTTTATCCAGTTCCCCCTTCCTCTCTAGAGCCAGGGAAACAGGGTGGCAGGTGGGGGCTGGAGAACCTAGGCAGGGATGTGTCTTAAGGGTTTGGTATAAAAGGAACCCGCTCAGCTGTGGACTCTGGCAGAACAGCCCCTGAGTGTTTGAATGAATTTCTTTTCCCTTCTAGTTCTGTGACTTTCCCCTTCCTAGTAATAGGGAGCAGCACACCGCATTTAAGAGCTGGAAGACTCGGTGTCCAGTCTTTGCCCTTGCGCTCTCATGATGTGCATGAGCTCATACCCTCATGATGTCCAACTTTCTCCATCAAGAAAATGGGTCTACTCAGGCCCTCTCTGTTGAGTGGTCAGGGATATTGTGGAAATTAAATAGAAATTGTGAAAGGTTGCATACTGGTGAGAAAAGTGTCCATTGCTTACAGAGGGGAGAAAAGTTAAAAATTGGCACTCATGAAGGCAGGAGCAATATATTTGGCTGCCATGTCATCAGCCTCTCCCTTTCCTCCCCAAGGTGTGGAAGCGTTCTGGAGCCTGGTTCTTCAAGGGCTTCCCCAAACAGGTCCTCCCACAGCCAATGCCCATAATGAAGACCAAGCCCAAGCAGCCTGTCAGTGAGCCTGCTGTCCCAGAGCAGCCTACCCCTGAACCCAAGCACACTGTCCGGGCTCCAACTCAAGGTAGGACAAAACAATTTGTCCTTTCAGGACCAAGGACAGCTCTCGGCTAACTGGTCTACCTGAGAATGTCCTGACATGTTTGTGTTTCTACCCAGTTGATGGACAGACAGCCTCTGGGTTTGGGTCTGGGAATCCTATGTCTCCTTCACAGCTCACCATGAACCTTATGGAGAAGATAGCACAGAGAACTCTTCAACAATGTCAGGCATTTTTGATGGAGTATTTAGAGGTACAGCAGAGGTGGAAATTAAAATTAGGAACAAAGAGAAATTCTCACAACCAAACTGCACACTGGAGCCTGGAGGCATTTGGGAGTGGGGCTTGCTGAGAAGGCCTTCCTCACTCCTGGTATTTCTTATATCCACCATCAGCAAATCTGAAATTGGACTAATTAGAACGGAAAGTTGAATAGAAAGGAAATTAGTGAAAGAAAATTACCACTACTATGGATACTATCACTATCATCCAAGTATTATTATTAATTACTAAAATGATGATTAAAAGAAGGAGGCAAAGCAATACAAAGAAAAAAGGCAACCACAATAAAAACACATTAATTGGATGAGGCCACTGGGACTGATCAGCGAGAGTCCTTGCAATAATTCCAGTTAACACCAAGTGATCATTTCGGGTCTGGATGACAACTCTGCAGTTGTGTGCAAGCAGTGCTTCTGGAAGGAAGGTCTCAAAAATAGAGGTGCCTGAGTATGTCTCCTATAAGATAACTTCTTCATGTACTTGGGACTGTGTCTGGCACTCAAAAGGCATCAGCAAATACTTCCTGACAAAGGGAGCAATTTGTATCCCTTGCAGAGAATTACCAAATTGTCCATCTTCACTGCATCCTGAGGAGCCCTGGTTTCTACCAATAGAGCATCCTTCTTCCTGGTTAAACACTTCCCCCTCTAGGTCGAGAAGATTGTAGAGCATAACTGTCAAGATCATGGACATATGCCTGGCTGGTGTGGCTCAGTAGTTGAGTACCCATTTATGAACCATGAAATCACAGTTTGATTCCCAGTCAGGGCACATGCCCAAGTTGTGGGCTCAATGCCCAATAGGGGTGTGCAGTAGACAGCTGATCAATGATTCTCTCTCATCATTGATGTTTCTATCTCTCTGTCCTTTCCTCTCTGAAATCAATAAAAATATTTTTTAAAAAATATATTTTATTGATTTTTTTACAGAGAGGAAGGGAGAGGGATAGAGAGTTAGAAACATCGATGAGAGAGAAACATCGATCAGCTGCCTCCTGCACACCCCCCACTGGGGATGTGCCCACAACCAAGGTACATGCCCTTGACTGGAATCGAACCTGAGACCCCTCAGTCCGCAGGCCGACGCTCTATCCACTGAGCCAAACTGGTTAGGGCAAAATATTTTTTTAATTAAAAATGAAAAGATCTGGGCATCTGAGGGCAGGAGGACCAGAATCTGAATTCCAGCTCTGCCTCCTACCAGCCCTGTGAGCTTGGGCAAGTGTCCTAACCTCTCTGCGATTCGTTCTTCATCTATGGGGTGGGGCAAAATAGGTTTACAGTTGTGAGTATGCGAAACACAGTTTATTAATTATTTTACTGTTTTTCAAACGAACAGCTGCAGACCTGCTTTTGCCCCACCCCGTATAACATGGGGCTAATAACTCACTGGATTTGTTTGAGTATTAAATAAAACACTACATGCCAAGTGCTTGGCAGAGTGCAGCACTGAGTAAATGCTGACTGATAACATATAATGTTCATCACCTGTGCACAGACACATATACAGACACGTAGGTGGCATGAGCTAGATAAACTCTGGACAACACAGACCACTCTGGAAATGCGGTGGATGTAACCCCATTCACTTCACTGGAGAGAAGTAACATCACCAGCATTGCATAGTGGCGCTTAAAAAGTTATTAGAATAACATCGGTGCTGGTGAATGTGTGGGGAGATGAGTACTCTCTAAAACTGTTGGTTTAGACCAGGGGTCCTCAAACTTTTTAAACAGGGGGCCAGTTCACTGTCCTACAGACCATTGGAGGGCCGGACTGTAGTTTTTAAAAAAAAAACTATGAACAAATTCCTATGCACACTGCACATATCTTATTTTGAAGTAAAAAAACAAAACGGGAACAAATACAATATTTGTATTTGCATGTGGCCCGCGGGCCGTAGTTTGAGGACCCCTGGTTTAGACTGTAAGTCACCTCCAGCCTTTTGGAATGTAATATGGCAGGCTTTATTGAAATGGGGAATGTACTATTTTTTTAAAATATATTTTATTGATTTTTTACAGAGAGGAGGGAAGAGGGATAGAGAGTTAGAAACATCGATGAGAGAGAAACATCGATCAGCTGCCTCTTGCACGCCCCCTACTGGGGATGTGCCCGCAACCAAGGTACGTGCCCTTGACCGGAATCGAACCTGGGACCCTTGTGTCCGCAGGCCGACGCTCTATCCACTGAGCCAAACCGGTTAGGGCGGAATGTACTATTATATACCATTTGATCCAGCAATCCCTCTCTGGGATTATATGGAACAGCAATCCAAGTACCATGTAAAAGATATAGATATATTTGTTGCATCATTACTTATGACAGCAAAGCACTGGGAGAGGTTCGTTAGTAGGGGAATTGTTGACTGGATTATGGAATATCCACACCACGCTCTAGTAGGGATTATTTAAAATGGAATGATGTCAATGTTCTTTATGGATTTGCAATTATGTCCATATGTGCTTTCAGTATTCTCTTAACAAACATTCACTGGGCACCGAAGGAGTTCCAGGCCCTATTCTAAGCCCTGGAGATAGAGTGGTGTTTGCAACAGACGAAGACCCCTGCCTTCCTGCAGCTAAAATTCTAGTGGGGGAAACAGGTGCTCGACCAGCTGCCAATGCAAATGCAATATAGTATCGGGCAGTGATAGGTGCTGGGGATAGACACGGAGCAGGTAAAGGGGGCAGGCAGTGACAGGAGGCCCCATTCAGGATAGAATGGGCAGAGAAGGGCTGTCAGAGGAGGATCTTTGGGGAGACACGTGACTGAAATGATAGTGAGGACCCAAAGAATCTTCGGGACTATGGAGTACGTGGGGCTTAAGGTTGGAATGTGCTTGGTGAGTCCTGGGAAAATTGGATTAAGCGAGCAAAGCCCACCTAGAAGAGGATGTAGCCAGTGGCCCCAGCTCGGCCTGTGTTCAGCCTGTGTGTGTTCACATGCTTGTGCAGGCAAAGGAAATATGTGAGATTATAAACGAAAGCTGCGTCCAAGGGCAGGGCAGGAGGGGAGAGTTTTAATTTTAAAGAGCACTTGGGAGTGGAGGGTGGGCCCCTTTGTGGAGCTGTTTAAGTAGTGGCCCTCCTGCACCATAAAAACCAGTTCTCCCATCACTGTTCTCCCTCTCCAGGTGACGCTGAAGACAGGAGGGGCCCAGGTCAGAAGCCAGGCCCTGAGCTGGCCTCTGCGCCAGGCCGAGGAAGCTACGGGCCTCCTGTGCGCAGGGCCTCAGAGGCACGAATGAGCTCAGCCAGCCGGGACTCAGAGGGCTGGGGCCATGGCCATGGCGGGGCAGCCGGTGACTCCAGCCGGAGCCCAGCAGGTGAGAGAGAGGGGCAAATCCAGGCAGGCTTCCTGGATGAGGAGAATCAGAAAGAATGGGGAGGGGAGTGTTTTTATTTATCCATTCGGTGCTTATTGAGCACCTACTGTGTGCCGTGTTCAATGACAGATGCTGGTTCTAGCCTATGGTAGAGGAAAGATCAGACTCAGAAACAATTCTGACTCCAGACATCCAAAAGTTTTGCTTATATCCTTTTCTTGCTCTAATGTCTACATTTCTTTGTAGCGAGGTCATGAGACTGGCTCTGATTAGATGGGCTGAATATTAGTTCCCTCGCAGCCCTCTGGCCTTCTCTTTCTGATTAGGGGGTTTGTGGCATAGCACCTCGGTTCCTCTTGGCAGGAGAGCTGGGGAGCAGTATCTGATGGTCTCAAGCAGACTGGAGACCGACTATCTGAGTTCTAGCCCTGGCTCTGCCACAAACCAGCCAACAGACATTGCATGAACTCCTCAACCTTGCTGGGCCTCAGTTTCCCCATTTATAAAATGGGGTGTAGAGATTAAATAAGCTTCTTATATATAAAGTCCCTGGCACATGGTAAGCGTTGAATAAATGTTAACTCGTCCTTATCCAGTAGCTCCTGAAGTTCAGAGAGGGGGAGTGACCAGCCCAGAGTCACACAGCTTATAAAAGAGAATGCTCCGATGCAAAGTTAGGGCGATGTGAAGATATAGACCAGATTCTTGCAAGAATAATACAATAATATCAACATCTGCCAGATGCTGAGTGTTTACTACATGTTCTGAGCACTTTGCATGCATTGTATCATCGCATCTCCACACATGCTATGCGGTAGGTACTATCATCCCCATTTAACAGACGAGGAGACTGAGGCCCGGGGAGGAGAGGCCATTTGTGCAAGGCCGTACAGGTGGGGGCGCTATCACACAACTTGTGCATTTTCAACACCCAGGTGACTTGCCCGGGGGGTCTGAGTACTGGAAAGAGCGAACCCACTGAGAGGCAGAGAGGGTCTGAAGGAGCTGAGGGTGTTGGGGGGCTGCGTTCAGATCCAGAAGGCCTTGCTTTAGGCCGGCTGCCCAGTCCCAGCTTCTTTCTGCTTCCACTGTGTGTGCGTGCAACGTGACGGGCTGTTTCCCTTCCTTCCTCCTACAGGCTTGAGACGGGCCAACTCAGTGCAGGCCTCCAGACCCGCCCCAGCCTCGACGCCGAGCCAGGCACCGCCTCAGCCTGGGCAGCCAGGTACTTGCCGCCCGCCCAGCCACCGCGGCCGCCATGTCAGTCAGCGGCGACCCCAGTTCCTCCATCCTTGCTGGCAGAGCCCCGGCTCTCTGCAAAGCCGCAGCCGCCGCCGAATGCTAAGCTCTTCTAAGACCCTTAGACTGGGTGATCCTCGGGCTGGGGAGCCGGGCGGGGCACGAGCCAGCATCGTATCCAGCTGAATGCAAGAAGGGACAGCACTTCATTCCTCAGCGTCTCCCCCCTTCAGCCATGGTCACTCCACTGGCAGTTTTTACCACACGCACCTACCACCTACCCTCTTACTTTCTCGATCTTTCTTCAAATGGACTCGCTTTGCAAGCACAGCTGAGGGCTTGCTATCACCAACACTCTCGAGGGGGATTTAAGGCCACTGGGCTGTAATAAAATGACGCATGTTCCCAGAAGGGTTGTGGGAGATTCAGGAAGAAATGGTGAGCAAGGAGATTAGTGATGTGGGGAAATCTGAACACATGTGGCTCCTGAAAGACAAAGGGGGTGATGTCTAATTGGTGCCGTGCGGGTTTTGTTATTTTAAAAGAAACCTATGATAATGGCATCAATGGGAAACCAGTGTCCCGTCCTATAGAGAGAGTGTGTGCGGGCACCACCAACTGGGTGGTGTAAATTAGCAGAGACGGGTGGTCTCCCAGTTCTGGAGGCCAGAGGTCTGAGGTCAAGGTGTCGGCAGGGTGAGCTCCTGAGGCTGTGAGGGAGGATCTGTTTCATTCCTCTTAGCTCCTGGGGCCTCAGGCAATTCCTCGGCTTCTAAATGAAGTCCTCCCTGTGTCTCCCGTCATCTTTCTTCTAAGGATGTCTCTCTCTCTGTCCAAACTTCTCTTTTATACATATATTATTGATTTCAGAGAGGAAGTGAGAGGGAGAGAGAGAGGAACATGAATGAGAGAACCATGGATCGGCTGCCTCCTGCACGCCCCCTTTGGAAATCGAGCCCGTAACCCGAGCATATGCCCTGACGGGGAATCGAGCCGTGACCTCCTGGTTCATGGTGGATGCTCAACCACTGGAGCCACACCGGCTGGGCCAAACTTCTCCTTTGGATAAGGACACAGTCGTATAGATTAAGGCCTGCCCCAGTGACCTCATCTGAACCTGACCATCTTCAAAGACCCTCTTCCACCCGAGATCTCACTCACGGGTGCTGGGGGTCAGGACTTGAAGATCTTTCAGGGAACACAGTTCAACCCACGGCAGAGGGTAATGACCTAAATGAATGTAATGAAAATTAAACAAGGCAAGGAAATTCTCGTTCCTCTGGCCTGAGGAGGTTCTGAGCCTGGGGCCTGTTCGCTTTTGTTCAAAGGGGAAACCCAACAGAGTTGCACTCAAATGAGACTTCCTGGGGGTGGGGGGGTCATACTGAAAGGCCAGGGAAGCCTGGGGGCTCCTGGTGGTGTTGACGGGTATTCCATACCCCACCCCTGAAGTTGTGAAGAATCCACTGGGTCAGTAATGACCCCACAGCATTGATGGATCCAGAGTGTAAACTTGCCCATCACCTCGGGCACAATTCTCCTCCATTCGTTGATCAGCCTCATAGCCAGTGAAACGTGAAGAGCGGGCATTCTTATCCCATTTCAGATAGGAGAAAGCTGAGGCTCGGGAAGGACACATTGGGGCTTGAACCCAGGCCTTCCTGACCTCAGAATCCTCCGTGGGGCTGTTCCTGCAGCCCCAGGTACCTCTGCACATCGCCTGTTACCCCTGGGCCTGTGTCCCTGCCCAGGAAATGAGGGGGACACGGGGTGGACACGGAAATGATGCCACCTTCTCTGCTCCATCTCTCCTCTCTTCTCTCCACTCAGGGCCCCCAGGAGGCGGCAGACCCAGCGCTGGGCCAGCAGGACGCTTTTCGGACCAGAGACCAGGCAAGTGCTCGCTGCTCCCATGCCTGCTCGAGAGACCACCTCTCTCCCACTTCTCCATGAGAGAGCAGGGGGCTGCCTGATCGTGGCCCAGCCTATACCCCGAGACCTCCCTGATGAGCTCTAAGGCTCCCCACCCTGATTCCCAAACTCTAGAAAATGACCACACGTCGAGTGATTAAGAGCACACCCTGCCTGGATTCAAATCCTGCTCCTTCACATCCCAGCTGTGTGGCCCTGGGCAAGTTACGTAACTTCCCTGAGCCTCAGTTTCCTTATTTTAACATGGGAATAATACCAGGACCTACTTCAGTGACTGTTCTGAGGATTAAACAGACTAATACATATAAAACCGTAGCACGTGGCCGGGAATGTTTAAGACCACGCTAAGTGACAAATGACTATTACATGTGATATATATGCCTAGTCATCCTCACACGCATCACTGTGGCTACAACGTAGTCCTTGCTTTCTGATGCACCAGACACAATTTTGTATATGTATTCAATAATTTTTAAAATAATAGCTACTGCCATAACCGGTTTGGCTCAGTGGCTAGAGCGTCGGCCTGCGGACTGAAGGGTCCCAGGTTCGATTCCGATCAAGGGCATGTACCTTGGTTGCGGGCATATCCCCAGTAGGAGATGTGCAGGAGGCAGCTGATCGATGTTTCTCTCTCATCGATGTTTCTAACTCTCTATCCCTCTCCCTTCCTCTCTGTAAAAAATCAATAAAATATATTTTAAAAAAATAATAGCTACTATGATTTGAGTGACTTCAGGTATTATAATTCCCATTTTACAGATGAGAAAGCTGAGGCTCAGAGACATTGAGTAATTTGCCCTATACCACACAGCAGAGGTGCAGACCCAGGCTACCTGGCTCCAGAGCCCACACAAGTGATCAGTACCCCTTTGAGGTCTGTTTTGCCTGCATCTGATTAAGCTCATGGGACTTGTTATAAAACATGGACTTCAAGGCCCCACTGCACGGGCTACTGATTCTGCGTGGGGTCCGGGAACCTGCATTTTGCAAGCTCCCCTCAGTGGTTTTGACAAAGACAACATTCTGAGAACCAGCGAACGGCACAATGTGGTCACCCCGTCAACGGGAGGCCATAATTCTATGTTGCAGGGCTGTGGGTGAGTTACAGTAGGTGCTCATCCCTCGTGGTCATGCTGGAGCAGTTGTTGCTGCTGCCATTGTAACACAGGGACTCAGCTGCCTCTTTCCTGCCCTCTCTCCATCTCCCCTGCAGACATGGCCCCCAGTGACCTCTGCTACCCAGGGGCCTCCATCCCACCCTGGGAGGAGCGACTCGGAGTCGGAGCCAGGGAGGACCGGGCGGGCCACGCACCAGGCCCTTACTCCCAAGTGTCTGCTGCTGCCCCCCAGCCTGTCGCGACCCCTGCCCGCCAGCCCCCACCCCCTGAGGAGGATGAGGAGGAAGCCAACAGCTACGATTCAGATGAAGGGAGTATGTGGCACTGAGGGCAGGGGTGTCTGGGAAAAGCCCCTTCAGGGTCACCCCCCAGGGAGACAGGAGGGCTCCAGGGAGGGCCCTCTATACCCTCCCAGCTCCACAATATGCCAACCGTGACAAATACATTAACCAAGTTATAAAAATCCAAGTTTGTGTTACTGTATTCACAACATGACATGAACTTACTAAAAAACAGTAACATCCTATTTTTTTATTGGGGTAAAATACCTGTAACATCAAAGTCACCGTGTAACGCATTGTCAAGAGTGCAATTCGGCGATATTCGCTTTGTCCAGTTTGGTGGCTCCTCACCAAGTAGATCGTGGAATTATCGTGTGACCAGCATCCACTCCTAGGGTATACCTACACCTTTAACAGTTCCAAAACTCTCTACTGTGTGTCTTCAAAGAGCAATTTTTAAAGCCATTTTAAAATTTCTGGATGTTTCTTTTTGCATCCATGCAATCAGGGATGTATGAAGTGCCTGCTTTCTGCCCCTCCCACTGAGACCCAAGTCCTGGGGACACACACACACACGCACACACACACACACACACCCCAAGAGCTTGCGGTCAGGCGGAGAGATTGGACCCGCTTAGATGAAATGGACCGAGGGCTGAGGGCGGTGGCATGGCTTTGGCCCACGATGTCACCCCTTCTCGTTGTAAAATGGGAAGCAGAATACTGCCTCCTGGGCGGGACCGAGGAGGGTAAACGGAGGCACCCCCTGGGAAAGTGCTCTGTAAACTGGAAATCATTATCATTTTAGTGCTAAACACACACGAGGAATGGGTATCACGTAATACGCACACTTTTCTAAGTGTGTTCTGGGCACGTGCTCATGTGATCTGCCCACGGGGCCTGGGAAGAGTTGCTTTTACTGATCCTGATTCACAGGTAGGAAGACGGAGGCTCCAGGGGTTCAGGGACTTGGCCAAGCTCTCACCGCCAGTGAGTGGAGGGGCTGCCGCACATCAGAGGCCAGAGCCGGTGAAAGGCCAGCTGTCCCCTCCCCATCCCGTGCTCTCCCGCGGGCCTTGGGGACTGAGTCTTCCTCTCTCTGTAGGCTCGATGCTTAGCCCAGACAGGGCACATAATCAGCGCTCGGGAAATGTTTGTTGAATGACTGAGTGAATGTTCTCTTGGTTCCTGCCTCTGCCCCCTCCAGCCACCCTGGGCGCCCTGGAGTTCAGCCTTCTCTACGACCAGGAGAACAGCTCCCTGCACTGCACCATCATCAAGGCCAAGGTGGGTGAGGGGCCAAGCGGGGGACCACACGGGCTGCGCTGGCTTCTCCGGGGACTTGGGGAGGACACGGGTCACCAGGCTCCTCTCTGTTGCCCTGCCTACCTGTGGCAGTGACAGTGGTGAGAAAAAGGCAGAAATTAGCCACAGCCCACATTGTGGGGGAGAACTTCCCCCGGAGATGGTCCCAGAGGGTCATTTAACCGCAGCCGCCTCCCAGGAGCAGAGGCAGTTGGGCTACAAGGGCAGAGCCCAGCTCCCTGGAGGGGACGAGTGACAATCCAGCCTTGATGGAGCATCTCCATGTGCCAGGCACTTGACAGGTGAAATCGTGTGTAAGTCTCCCCCCTCCACGAAGCAGGGTTGTCCGCATCCCATTTGACCTGCGAGGAAAACGAGGCTCAGAGAGGTTAAGAAACTTGCCTGAGGACACACAGCCAGGAAGTGACATGGCCGGGCTTTAAGCCCCGTCTGCCCGATTCCAGGGCTCTGTTCCTCCTCTCTCTCTTCGGAAGAGGAAGCACATGGGGTGGACCGACGGGCGGGACAGAGGCCAGGGGCTGCGCCCAGGGCTGCGGCAGCGGAGTGGCCGGCCCTCCCGAGGCCCTCGCACCACTGCCTTTTCTCTTGCAGGGACTGAAGCCCATGGACTCCAACGGCCTGGCCGATCCTTATGTTAAGCTGCACCTCCTGCCGGGAGCCAGCAAGGTACCATATGGCCTGGGCCTCTCGGCGAGCCAGGAACATGGGCCCTGGCAGGCACCCACCGTTCCCAGCCCAGAGCCTAGAATAGCCCAGCTGCCCCCAACCCCCTCCTCCCCGAGTGGCCAAGTCCTCGCCAGCGGTGAGAGGTGGGCCAGAAGTCACTCTCCCGCAAGGGGCAGGGGCTCTGCCCATCTCTCCAGCCCAGAAACCTGAAATCCAGGAGCTTCCAAAGCCCAGGGGAGAAGCAGATGCCCCATGATGCCCTCACCTGCTCACATACCTTCCATGGCTCCCCAGTGCTGACCATGGTCCCCCTCCCCCTCCCATTTTATGCCCCAACCAAACACTCCTCGTCTCTCAGTGGAAAGGAATCGCTCTCTTTGGATCTCAGGGCTAAGCACCTGAGATAATGTTCTGTCCTGAGAGAAATGTGCCCCCTCCCACCTTGCCGCTCCCTGGCCATTGCTTTGCTCTGCGGAGGAGACGTGGGGTTCGACCCACTCAGAGGGGCTTACTTTGTCCATTTGATGTGGATGCGCTCAATACAAGGGTGACCGTGCACTTGGTTGCATGATCTCGGCAAACTGCACGTTAAAAATCTCTGCTGCAAGTATTGAATGTCCCTTAAGACAAAAGAGGACACACGCACACGCACACGCACACACACATGCACACACGCGCACCTGCACATACACACACACATACACACACACATACACACACAATCTTTTTCTTTGTTTAGATCAAGGAACAACAGTCTCTCATCTGGCCATGGCCAGACGGTGAAGTGTTTGGCCACTTCTTCTAACTCCCCAGTGACATTTGCTTCTCCTGAAGGCTCTCTCCTTCGCTCACTCCTAAATCCAAACTTGCTTTGCCAAGGAATCCAGTGAGTCATGTTAGTCTGAATTAGATTTCTCACCAGGCCCCTCTTCTGAGTTTAGTACATTTCTAGCCTCTCTCTTAGAGTGAAAAACTTTGTCTCCCTGCCCCCCACCCCCAGCCCCCTAACAAATTTCAGGCATGAAGGATGCTATTTGGGGAAACCTACGGAACCCTCCCAGGATCCCCAGAAATCGTCCTTCGCTGCCTAGGAGTGGGTGACTCCTATTTCTGCCTCCCTGACCGAGAAATGATTTTTTTCTCAAAGGAAAATGTCTCAGCTCTCTCTCTCTCTCTCTCTCTCTCTCTCTCTCTCTCTCTCTCTCTCTCTCTCTCTCTCTCTCATTTTGTTAATCCTCGCCTGAGGATATTTTTCCATTAATTTTTAGAGAGAGTGGGAGAGAGAGGGAAAGACAGAGAGAAATATTGATGTGAGAGAAACACATCAATTGGTTGCCTCCTGCACGAGCCCCGACTAGGGCCCGGGCCAGGGAGGAGCCTGCAACTGAGGTACGTGCTCTTGACCGGAGTCGAACCCAGGACCCTTTGATCTGCAGACTGACACTCTATTCACTGAGCCAAACCGGCTAGGGCTCGCTCTTTCTTTTTTTAATCCTCACCTAGGATATATTTTTTCCATTGCTTTTTCAGAGAGAGAGAGAGAGTGAAAGGGAAGGAGGGAGGGAGAGAGGGAGGGAGAGAGGGAGAGGAAGAAAGAGAGAGGGAGGAAGGGAGGGAGAGGGAGAGCAAGGGAGAGAGAAACATCAATATGAGAGAGACACATCAATTGGTTGCCTCCTGCATGTGCCCGATTGGGGGCGGGGAAAGAAGCCACAATTGAGGTATATGCCCTTGACTGATATCAAACCTACTGACACTCTAACCACTGAACACACCGGCCATGGCACTGCTTTTTAATCTTAAAGGAAAGTTCAAAGAGAGAGCCTACTGCGTGGAGGGAGGGGTGGCTCAGTGTCCAGCCCTGTTGATGGCTGCAGACATCACCCTGAAGATGCCCCCCACTCCCTGAGACGTGCATTTGGGAGCCCCTGAGCCCCTGTACACTCCTAAAGGGAGTGTCTCCTAAATCACTCCTCCACCGCCCCCCCCCCAAATCAGCCCAAAGGGTGTGGCTGCGGGGCTGGCTCCCCACTGAGGCTGGTGTCTGTCTGTCCGTCTCTGGGCTCTAGTCCAACAAGCTTCGGACAAAAACCCTGCGGAACACCCGGAACCCCATCTGGAACGAGACCCTCGTCTATCACGGCATCACGGACGAGGACATGCAGCGGAAGACGCTCAGGTACCTGCCGGGTGGGCAGAGGGGGCCGAGGTGGTCCTTGTGGGGCCACATGTTAAAACCTCTCTGTGTAGTGTCTTTCTTTCTTTTTTTTTACTTCTACAAAACAACATGTATTTCTGGTAGAAACTTCTAACAATACAGATAAGTGAAACTCTTTGCATCTGGGTGTCTGGGCATCTGGGGTGTGTGTGTGTGTGTGTGTGTGTGTGTGTGTGTGTGTGCATGCGTGCATGCAAAAGTTTCTTATGAAATTGAGTGCTTTAAAAAACAGACCATCGTGCCCAGCTGGTGTAGCTCAGCAACTGAGCATCGACCCAGGAACCAAGAAGTGGCCAGTTTGATTTCCAGTCAGGGCACCTGCCCGGGTTGTGGGCTCCATCCCCAGTAGGGGGCGTGCAGGAGGCAGCTGACCATGAGTCTCTCTCATTAATGTTTTTACTTCTCTCTCCCTCTCCCATTCTCGCTCTCTAAAAAAAAATCAATGAAAACATACTTTTAAAAATGGACCGTCCTATTAATCAGGCTGTTTTAACCATATATTGATGCATCTTATCTCCTACAATGTTGTCTGACACTGCGTTTTAAATTATATCAGTGACACGGGAATACATTCTTCTTGTAAAATATGATAGAGGAAGTAACCCCTTTTACATTAGTCCCCGCCCACCGCCGGGGTCCGCTTCCTCCTCCCGTGACCCTGGGCACTCAGACCATGTTGGCAACTTGGACAGTTTCGTGCGGTGTATCTGGAACCTTCCATTTTTCTTAACGAAGTGACTTAGAGTCATAGCCATGAGGCACATTTAGATCTACGTCATTTTAACTGCTTCAGGGTTTTCCACAGAATGGGTTGATTACAGGTTTTTTAAAAAATACTTTCATTAATAAATATTACAAATATACAGAAAACTGTAGATTATAATAGAACAAACATCCATGAACACAGTACTCAGTCTTTTTTTAAAAAAATCTTCACCCAAGGATATGTTTTTATTGATAGAGAGAGAGAGAGAGAGAGAGAGAGAGAGAGGGAAAGAGAGAGAGAGACTGATCAGTTGCCTACCATACAGGCCCCAACCAGGGATCAAACCCACAACCTTTTGTGTACAGGATGACACTCCAACCCACTGAGCCACCTGGCCAGGGCCTAGTACTCAGTCTTTAACACACACCTGGCCTCGTGCTCAATAAACAGGAAGTTAAAGTGCCACTATGCACATCACACATTCTTTGCCAGCATCCATCGCAGCTCTCGGAACAGAGTGACAGCTCACTATATGCTCTTTTTTCTCTCCCCACCCTCTGGGGGGGTCGCAGGATCTCTGTCTGTGACGAGGACAAATTTGGCCACAACGAGTTTATCGGTGAGACCCGCTTCTCACTCAAGAAGCTAAAGTCCAACCAAAGAAAGAATTTCAACATCTGCCTAGAGCGCGTGATCCCGGTGAGTGCCTCCCCCTGAGGGTGCGATGGGGGGGGCGGGGGGAGAGTTCTGGGGGTGCTGCCTTCCTCTGGGCCCGCGGGGTGCCACACAGTACAGCTGCTGAGAGGGGGTGAAGGTTTCAGGTCAGAGCCTCAGGGTGGGGCCCTGGCTCTGCCTCGTGCCAGCCCGGCGTTAGCGTCAGTTCTCCGACCGGCGGAGTCCTCTTTGGTGACACTGGGGCGGGCAGCGTGCTGAGGCAGTGGGGCCGGCCTGGGTTCAAAGCCCGGGTCCGCTACTCTCCCCGCTCCCTGGCCTCGCCGAGGGTCTGAGCCGCTCTGAGCCTCAGCTTCTCTCGTCTGTCAGTGGGCATGATAACAGTGCCTGCCTGGTGGGAGGTTTGTGTGAAAGAAACAATCAGAACAGAACCTAGTCCACAGTGAGCACTCGACATGGTCAACTGTCGTTCTTATAGGAGTCCTACTGCCGACCCACCTGTCACTCATGAAGGCATAACGCCCCACGCAGATGAGCAGGGGGCAGGATAGCTCCGTGCTGAGAGCACAGACTCTCAACCCAGAGTCCCTGGGTTGGAATCCTGGCTCTGCCACTTGTCATAGAACCTGGGCCCTGTTTTTTCATCTGTAAAACGGGATGTTATTAGAGTATCCGTCTGCTCGGGGCTTTTAAGGGTTCCTGTGAGAGTTCTTCTAAAGCATGAGGATTTGCTTGTTAGATGTGCTTCTGGCCTCTTGAGAAAGAACAAAAACCAACTTGAGGTTCTCCAGTGGGGCTACGGCTCAGAACCAACTGGAGATTTAAAAACCAGAGCCTCACCAGCTAAGATCCCGACCTCGCGAGGCAGGGTGGGACCAGCCATCTGTACTTTCAGACATAATCCAACCGGCCCTTTTCGACGAACGGGCCACCTCGGGCCCAGGGAGGGGAGTGAGCTGCCACGGTCACACTGAATCCGTGGCTATGTTCCCCGCCAGCCAGAGCCCAGGTCTCCTGCAGCTGCCAGCTCCCAGGCAGAGGGCCAGCTGCCCACAGGGGGTGAGGCGGGGGGAAAGCCGTGGCAGGCGGAGGGGGATCCTATAGCAGCCTCCCACCAGATGGCTGGCCCGAGGATGGGCTATCCGGGTGCCACGCCGTGTTTGTGTGGCGCAGGCGAAGGAACAAGACACAACAAGGAAAACCACAAGGAAGAATGTGCACCGAATGCCAGGCTCCAAATAAAACTCAAGACAGCCCGGGAGGGGAGCGTTTCCTCTGGGCCCTGCCCAGGAACAGCGGGCTCTTCGGGCTTCCGCTTCCTTCCTGCACTCAATGAGTCCAGGTGGCCAGGACAGTGGCCAGGCCGCCGCCCGAGTCGCCAGCTCTTGGGTCTGCCCGTCTTGCTGTGAGGGGCGCAGCCGGCCCTACTGGCTGGACCGACAGAGGCCGCAGTGGCCCCAGACTGGTCATCATCTTTCGCTCTGTGCCCTTGGTTCTCCCACCACCACCTTTCCCCGTAGCCCCACCAAGGGCAGGGGCCACATCAGTGCTGTCCCTTCCTCCCCCCTGGGCCTCAGTTTTCCTCATCTCTAAAGTGGGGAGGTTGTCTTTAACCAGCTGTTTTCACACTGTGTTCCCGAGGGCCTTAGAGTCCCCCAAAAGGACCTTGGGAGCCGAAGGGGAAGAAGCACCTGGTGGCCCGACCCCAAGGCCCCTGTGCCACCACCAGAGCAGATCAAATCCTGTCGGTTGTATGCATGGGGCGCTCTGCCACTTCTTGGCTGGGTGACCTGGGGCAAGTGGCTTAACCACTCTGACCCTCAGTGTCCTCATCTGTAAAATGGGGCTATGAATACAACCTGCATCACAGGCACTAACACCGTCTGCCAGTGGTTCGTGTTATGCAGCTTTTAGCTAAAAGGGGGAAAGCTGGATGCCACAGAAGCTCGGAAATCCTGTCCTCGTGGCTCCGGGTGCTAATGGAGGGGGAGGAGCATCTGGTCCTTTCTGCGTAGGGAGGTGAGCCCCATGGACGATGTTCTATTTCCTTTCTGTTTCCTCCTCAGATGAAGCGTGCGGGGACCACCGGCTCCGCCCGAGGCATGGCCCTCTATGAGGAGGAGGTGAGCACTGAGTGGGCGTTGAGGCCCCAGTCGGGGGCTGGCCCCTCCCTCTTCTTTCCCTCCCCGGCCCCACCCCTGCTCTTTCTCCCAAACCCCCCTGCCCATTGGTTCACGTGAGAACTGCCTTGCCCACGGTGTTAGGACATGAGACCAGGTGGATGCTTTCACACCTGGAGCCCAAGGCCGGGGAAGCCCCATCCTCTCCCACCAGGGACACCTTGAGTTCCTCGGCCTCGTTGGCAGAGGCCCTGCGGTGCTCCTGCAGGACAGGAGCGATGCCACCTCCCTCCGTGGGACGGACCGGAGGCTCTTTGAGCTCTGGGTGCCCGTGCCCTCAGGCTAGGTCTCTGTGCAACCCCAGGGACCACATTTGTGAGAAGACGGGTTCTATCGGGGATCAGGCAAGGCCAGGGTCAAGGCTCAGTCCTGGGTCAGAGTCGGGGCAGTCACTGACCAGGATCAAAGTCTACCCATGACACGGGTTTAGCTCGCGGTTGAAGTAAAACCACTGACCTGTGCCCAGACCAGTCCCCTTGGCCTTCAGCATCCGCCCCTCCCTGGAGGCTGGGCTCCGCTGTCCATGGTGCTGACGGCACTAGCGCTGGCCCAGCTTCTCCCACTTTCCAGGGCCCTGCCCTAAGGCTCCCATCCAGGTGCCTGGCCCGCTCCCCTCGGGCTCACGCGCCCTCTTCTCCTATTGCAGCAGGTGGAGCGCATTGGCGACATAGAGGAGCGCGGCAAGATCCTGGTGTCCCTCATGTACAGCACACAGCAGGGCGGCCTCATCGTGGGCATCATACGTTGCGTGCACCTGGCCGCCATGGACGCCAATGGCTACTCAGATCCATTCGTCAAGCTGTGAGTCAATGCCTGGGGACTGTGAGTGGGCCCCGGAGGGGGCTCTAGATCCTTGCAAATGGGGAGCCAGAGAGCTTCCCCAGACCATTGTACGCTGAGGCCCAGAGAGGGAAACGGACCTGCCCAGGCACACAGTGAGACAGATGACCAGAACTGGCTAAGGTGGTGAGGCTGGAGTCCC